CGGACTAGATGATCTTCTCAGGTCCCTTCCGACCCTAGAAACTATGACACTATGAAACTATGACTAATGGGTTTTAAATAGGGCTAGGAAGATTATGGGTGAGGCTCATCAGTGGGAAAACTATGGACATAAGTGCATGAATAGCGACAGGGAGTTCCTTCTAAGAAGAGCTGAGTCATAATTCCATATCAGAAAGAAAACTCCTTCAGCTTTTATGGCACATCTGAGAGCCAAGTCAAGCACAGCAGTCCTTTAGTCACCTGCACCCCCTTCTATTTCCTAATGGTAATGAAAGTCAAGATCTTACCCCAGAGTCCAGAACAATATACCAAGACTTAAACCTCTCCCTAATCTGGGATTCGCTAATTCTTAGTCCCTTTACCTCCAAGCCCCTCACTTCCTTTTCTTCAGGGGTGGGGAGAAGAGTCAAGGGGAAACCAGGCTACCCCTGTCTTCTAGGACTGCAGCTCAGGGGACCCATGTTAAGCAGCAGATGAATGTTCTTTACTATCCCTTGATGCTTCACTACTTGTAGCTAATCAATATTAAATGCAAAGTGCAGAAAAGCCATTCAGAGTAACAACCAGAAGTCAGGATCCCCTTCCTTCTGAAATACTGTCCACTTCAGTGATCCACTCCCTCTGCCTGAACAAAAGATGAGCTCCAAGAAGAGAGATGGAGGGCCCTATGGCCCTGAAGCCTAGACTGTGGGTGGTTAGGGCACTTTATTGTGCCATGGCAAGGCAGGTTCAAATGCTTGCAGGTGAGGAGGATTATTGGCCAAGTGTCCTAACCACTAGACAAGTGGGTTGAAGGATGGCTGGTCTCCTTCTCCTGTCAGTTATCAGACTGTCACTTTCTGCTCCAGCGGGAAATAAAATCTAAAACCTGTGGAAGTGCCAGAAATTGTAGTTAGGTGACTACATAAGTGTTAATTAGGTACATAAAATTGAAATAGGAGTTTCAGCCTTTCAATCTGTTTAGTTTATCAAAAAGATGACTAAAAGTGGACTTGCCTGAAGTGGCCAAACACTGACAGAGAGCATAAAATGCAGGGTAGTAAAGGGCTCTTCAGTGCACTAGAGAAAGGCATAACAAGAGACAATGGCTGGAAGTAGAAGCTAGATAAGTTTTAAAAAGGCAAGAAGGCACAAATTCCCAACAGGGTAGATGATTAGCTGTTGGGACAAGTACTAAGGGAAGTGATGGATTCTCTGCCTTTGATGTCTGCAGATCAAAATAGGATACTTTTCTGGAATGTCAACCAAACATGGGTTTCTGGGCTTCATATAGGGAGAACAGGGTAAACTGTAATGGTCTAAGACAGAGCTGTCCAACTTCTCAGTGGCTGCAGGCCATCTGATGGAGGGGAAGGGTGGGGAGCACACAATAATGCAAGACAAGGGCCCCCCCGCACCCTCCCAGGTTGCATGGCACAAGCAGGCAGCCCTTTCCCACCCCACTGCTGTACTGCACACATGGGCAGTAGGCCTGTGCAAAGCAGCAAATATTTGCTTTGGATTCAGATTCGGCCAATTCAAAGGAGATTCAAATCACTGTACCAACTTGATTCAACTGAATCAGATCCAAAAGATTTGGCATCACTTTGGAGATTTGGCCATAGACTAAACAGGCAGCTGACACAGCTGCCTTCAGCTGGTAAGTCTGTTGGGGCTGGGGGAGGGAGGGATTGGGGTTGGGGCTGGGACAAGCAGCCCAGCCAGAGCAGGGGGTGCAGGACTTGGGAAGGGGTGCGGGGAGCATGGGATGCGGGTGTGGCAGTGCTTGGAGTGGGGGCTCTACCCTGCTGATGCTGCTTGCCCAGCTGGGGCAGAGGAGGCAGGATGTGGGCATGGCTCGCTCCAGGTGGAAGAGGACAAGTCGCAGCAGGGCATAGCCTCCACTCCCAGCTCTGCCACACCCACATCCCATGCCACCCCATACTGGCTGGCAAGTGGCAGCAGGGCAGACCCCCTGCATTGATGCAGGTGTGGCAGCACTGGGAATGGGGGCTAGGTCCTGTTGCCACTTGCCTCCTTCCTCCTGGAGTGAACCATGCCTACATCGCACCCCCCCTGCCCCCTGCACCAGCTGGGTAAGCACCAGCAGGGCATAGCCCCCACTCCCAGGGGTATCGTGGTTGCATCAGTACTGGGAGTGGGGACTCTGTGCTGTCGCCACTTGCCAGCTGGAGCAGGAGGGCAGGCGCTGCCGCCACTTGCCCAACTAGCTTGGGAGGGCATGGGATGTAGGCGCAGCAGCACTGGGAATGGGGGCTGTGTCCTGCCACTGCTTGCCCAGCTGGAGTAAGCAGTGCAGGGGCGTGGGTGCTGTAACCACTTGCCAGCCGGCACAGAAGGAGTACAGGATGTGGGTGCAGCAGTGCTGGGACCGGGGCCTATGCCCTGTTGCTGCTTGTCCCCTTTCGCCCAGAACAAGCCACGCCCACATCCCACCCCCACCTTGCCCCAGTTGGGCAAGCAGCAGGGCAGAGCCTCCACTCTGAGTGTTGCAGCACCCACATCCCATGCCCCACCCCTCCCTGAGTCCCACGCCCCCTGCCCTACCTGGGCAGCTTGTCCCAGCCCCAATCCATCCCTCCCCCATGTCCCTTCCCTCCCTCCCTCCCCCAACCCTAATGGACTTACCAGCTGGAGACAGCTGTGTCAGCTGCCTGTATAATCTATGGTGGAATCACCAAATCTTCTCTGAATCTTCTTCCAAATCTATTCAAATGCTTTAAACCAATTAGAAGCATTTAATTGGTCTCCCAAATTGATTCTGATTTGGAGATTCAGTCTCCGAATCAGGCCAAATCTCCTCCAAATTGAATACCAAAACTTCTCACAGCCCTAATGGGCATCCTCTTTCCCTGCTCTATCATGTGCATGGGCAAGGGACCCCCTGCCTATTGCTTCACCATGTGCAGGCAGGCACTTCAACAAACCCCCTCTTCCCTCAACTCAGCAGCTGCAGACTTCTCTATTGTACTGTGCCATGGACTCCAGTGTGTAACACCAGCCTTAGAGGCAGGCACAAGAAATGAAGCTGGGGGGAAAGCCCAGAGCCTGTAGCTGCTGCTGCAGGCAGTGATGAGGGAGCAGCAACCAGGTAGAAACCAGGGGATTGCAGATCAACCTTTTGTGGAATACATGTAGCCTGTGAGCCACCAGTTGGACAGCCCTGGCCTATGATATATAGGACATCTATTATGTGACCGTTAGGTCTTCAGCTCCATAAATCAAATGCTTAACTTTAAGCATATGTTTAAATCATACTAATGTGCTTTGTAACAAAGTTCCATTAATGATATTAACAGTGGGAGAAGGATCATTCATATGTACCTTAAATTTTATTTACCAACAAATCTTTAAACAAGAAAAAAGCTTTCCAGGGAACCAAAACTGCATGCAGTTTACGTCTCCATAGTATCAACCATTTGTGTTTAGCAAAGATGGAAAACCTTGGTGGAAAACTCCTAAATCTTACAACTCCCAAGCCAAGAAGTTCTTAAATTTGGCTTGACTATAATCCTATGATGTAGCTGTCTCAGTTATTGTGAAGTTGTTTTTTCAAGCATTTTAACTAGGACAGCAAGTGTGAATGCCAACCTCTTGACACAGTCACAAATTTGTAGCTTTTATCCTAACCAGATTCTTTTTTAAATGATAACCCTGAATTGAATTATGAGAATTTCTTTTGATTTATTTACAGTAGTTCTACAGCATTCCTCAGAAAACCAAGTTTTCTTTGCTAGACTGAGAGACCAGATATCTAATGATGATTTATATTGCTGTAAAAGACACTTTCTAGTACTGTTGTGCCCAAACAGTGGGACAGCTCAAAAAGCTGCATATATGAAATATGGTTCCAGGCTCCCTTCTTGAGAAATTATATTCTAGTCTCAAGGTTACAGTTTTTTGTTACAGACAGCACTCCACTGATGGTTATTTGTTTTTGCCATTTTAACAGGATTCAAATACAAGAGATGAACGGAAAACATATTTCATGGGCTTGAAGGCTCCTGAAGAATGCAAACTTAATCTGAACATGTAGTATTATTTGCTGCATGTCACCATGTGTTTGGATGCTGTCAGTGAGTAGTGCCCCATAACCACTTTAATTAAACTGGAAAGAAGTAGTATATATTTAATTTAAAGCCTGACATTACAAAATATTTTCACGTAACAGAGCCCATTGAAATCAGTCAGTGACCTACTATTAACTTCAATGGGTTTGGATCAGGCACTGTATGCATATAGGGTCTGAAGGTGGTTTTGGACTGTGCCAAAAATGGTACTAAAGTGGTATGAAACTGTTTTGTTCAGTGTGTCAACGATCCATCACTAAAAGACAAAGAATTCTACCCCTCAGATTTTAAAACCTTCCTGTTCAATTCACATAGGCTAAACACATTTTTACATGACATACTTTCTATGTCTACCGTTGAAAATGTATACTATGTCTCTTAATGAATCACTTCTTAAGAGAGAGCCACTCGAATGTGCCATCTAGTAAACCTGATCTAAGCTCTCATACACTTGGACACATCTTTTTTTAAAAAGGTACCTTTACATTTCAGAAATATATGGTTCACCCAAACTACTCAGATTGGATTTTATTACTGGGCATAAGGACCAAATTTTAATAAGTTTAAGTGGGCTGTCTATGTAATAGTAACAAGAATTATACATTATATACTAAGGGCCTGGTTCTCTATCTTGTATACTAGTTTATACTAGAGCTAGATGGGAAACAGTTTTTCTATCATGAAAAAGTTTTTGAGATTTCAGAAATCTTCCGTTCTATGATGGGATGAAACCAGGGCTTTCAAATGACAAAGCAGAGATAATCAGAGAGCCAGAGAGATTCAAATACTCATCCCACTCCAGACAAGTCAATTGGTACTCACCTCAGATGAAGCCAAATTTTGTTTCAATGAATTTATACGAAGTGGAACAGGTCTAACAGAATACACTGAGAGTGACTAAGCCTAGATGAGCTCATAACTTGTTGGTCATAGCCTTCCACCAGGAGGATGGAGACCAAGGGCAATTCCTTGGGTCAGAGTCAACAACAGAGGCATAACTTAAATATTGGCACCGTGGGCAGCATAGGGGAGCATGAGTGCTTACCTTAGAGGCTCACAATTATTTTGGCTGGTGGGCCACATAATGAGTTTTGGTGAGCTGTCAAGGGCTGTACAGATAACATTTCCAGAAGCAGGAGTAGTTAAGCAGTACCTGGGTGGCTGCAGCAGCAGTGAGAACAGCCCCACCAGGAAGTTGTGTACATTGGCTGGGACCAGGGTGGTGCTGTTGACAGGTGAAGGCTGGGTCCCTGATACAACCTTAAAGGGAGTAAGAAGTCAAGAGAGATCCTCTCCCATTTCAACATAAGTGGTCTAAGCACAATAATTCAACCAAGTAAAGTCATTAATAATTCAAGTAGGGTCTTTCTTGAAAACCCTTAAACTAGATTTACTTAAGTCCTTGGAGTATAGCTTTATGGTTGTCTCCCACAGGGCCTATACCAGAGAATCCTCCTCAGGCAAGATAGAGAGCTTTTATGACTTCTCTTTTGCCCCTGTGAGGTGTTATTATTCCCACTTGACAAGTGGGAAAAGTGAGTGCCAAAAATAGAAAGTTAATTATGCAAGATCACACTGTGAATCAGCATATGAAACTAAAACAGAAACCTGTAGGCCTTTGCTGATTCATGGTCCTTTGCTGACTCACAATCCTTTGCTTTAACCTCTAGATAAACTCCCACCCAGAAGAGCATTTGTTTGTGTGCAATGTGCCAAATTTTATTCTTGTTTGATAAGAAAAATACAATGCAAAACAGTTTGTTAGTGAAGTAAGATTTAACTTTCATCCACATTTCTATGTCTCCCTAGGGAGCCATAAATTAGAGTTGTGTGTTTGTAAGAAAGGAGGTAGCACTGCATTATAACTCTGATGTATAATAAAAAAGACAGAAAAGGCTCATGGGGTTGAAGGCTTTTGATGGACTCAAATAGGATTCTTTCAAAGCTGATGCCTAACTTTATTTTGATTGTATTTTCAGAAGAAAGCAAGAAAAACATTTTGTCCATCTAAATGTTTGAATGGGTGGGTGTTTGTGTGTGAGGGGAGGGGCAGAATTCAGATAGTGATGAAATGAACTTGGGCTCATGAAAGCTTTTTCTACACACACACACACATAGATACACATATTTTGGTTAGTCTGTGACTAAGGAAGCAGCTTTTAGCTACATTTCTTCTTGGAATATATATTATTAGCTCATACCCCAGTTTTCTCTCTCCCATTTGTCTGTTGAATCTACCTGGGTATATCTACATGTGAATTTAAGTGTGCTTAAATTTAATGTGCCTTAAGCTAATGTGCATTAAGTATTTTTGGCAGGTGTCTACACGTGGTGAGATTTGGGATTAACTTTAGTTCCAAATCACTCCAGCCCTGTGGCCGCCAGGGGGAGCTCCAGCCTCTGGACACATGGTTGCCAGAATTTGGCATTCATGCTGAAAGCAGAGCCAGTGGCCAACACTTAGCAGCCATCTTGAAAGCATACCCACCTCACTGTAACCTCTAGGTTGACGCTTCCTGTGTCAGAGCAGCAGAGTGGCTGAAACACAAGCAGCACATGCCTGCTCTGCTCCTGCTGCAGCTGCACTTCCCATTCCTGGCTGTTCCAGCTCCTGCCTCTGGCATCCAGGGACAGGGTCCTCCACTCCTCAGGGCTGCTGCAGCTGTCCTTCTTGTCCACCACCATTCTGGCCATCCTGTGCCACCCACCTCCTCCACCCACTCTGGCTGCCTGCTGGTACATAGCCTTCTGGGGCCCCCACCACTGCACAGCTACTGCTACCAGCCATGGTGACCATGGGCTCCAGGACACCCCTGCCAGGGCTGCCATCACCCTCCTGTCCTACCATTCTCATGACCTCTGGGCCTGCTATGCTGCAGGAATGGGATGGCAACCAGTGGGTTGACACACTCTGGATCACCCTGGGCCACCTTTGAAAACCAGCTGTGCCAACTCCAGCCCCACCTGGAGCACCAGGACACAGAGATGTGCCCAGCCATTCCTGCCAACACCCACCTGCCCCGCCGCCCACACCCCCCTACCCCCAGCCCACCCTCCAGCATCACGCCAGGGCATGCACATGTTTGGTATGAAAACCTTTATTCCCTTCACAACCCCCCACCTACCCTCTCAACCAATACAGCCTCCTCTCCCCAGCCTTCCCAACACACAGATCCCCTCCACCTCCATCCCCACCCACCAACAATAAAAAAACCCTCCTCCCAAACTGAAAACTGTGTGAAAGAGTCTCTATCTTTCTCTGAGTCCCAGAGTGGGGGGCTGTGTGGCAAGGATGCCTAGGGTGCAAAGCCTAATGGAAGACAGCCAGCATCCTGGCCATACACATTTCCTAGGTGGGTCTGGGGGCCATGACAAATGCCAGGGGCTCCTATGGGCGTGCGGTGGTAGAGACCCTCCTCCAAGGCCCAGGTGGGGAACCTGCTGCAGAGTAGTGGGTGGAATCTAGGGGGCCCACCATGGCCAGGGCTGGGGGCCAGGTGGAAGTTTGGGAGGAAGCCTGGAAATGGCCTCCACTGGTCTGTCCTGGCTGGCCAGCTGCTACTGGAGCAGCTCCATACTTCTGGAGCTGCTCCAGGGACTCCAGCTGGGCCCAGTACTCCTGCTGCACCCCATCCCATGCCTCCTCCAAGGCAGTCTCCCAGGTAATATCTTCCTCCTGCCAGGCTAGCTCCTGTGCCTCCTGCACCTGCTGCTGCACCTGTTCCTGTACTACCCAGTTCTCCACCAGCCGTTGGAGCAGGAGGGTCCAGTCCCTAATGCACCAGTGGTGCAGCCAGCACATCTGGGCAGCTCCAGCAGTAGGTGGGCAGCTCCAACAGTGGATGGTGGCCCTGCAGAGGCAAGAGACAGTGGCTTTTGTGCGTGTTTACAATATTTCAGAGAAAAGATGCTCTGCACCAGGGACCCTGTGCTGCCCAGCCTCAGATCAGAGGTTGGCCATGCATGGGTGCCCAGGGAGCATGGTAAGTTATCCAGGCAGAGCTGGTCCCAGGCAGCCCCCAGCCGAGCCCCCCAGCCCCACTTGCTCCCCTAGGGACAGCAGGCCACTGGGTGGTGGCCACTAGCAGCCTGCCTCCCCTGCCCCCTTTGTAGGGCAGGTCAGGCCAGGCTGCTGGCAGCACATGCTGCCAAGCTCCAGACCCCACTCCCTGCTACCTGCAGGCCAACCACTCTGCTGTGCTGATGCCCAGCCCATGGCAACTGGGTTTGGGGTGCACAGGGCTCCTGGACAACTGGGGCAAGGGGCTGGCCATAACCCTGCCTTCCTCTCTGGGGGCCTCTTCAGGGTGGTACCTCAAAGCTGGCTCCTCCCCATGCTGACACTGCATCCTATGCACAGTGCACAATGAGTTGTTTGTGCAGCCAAAGGGCTGCCTGAGCCACTATGCTCTGCTGATGATGATCTTGTTGGTGCCCCAGAAACACCTGCATTCCTGGCTTAGGATCCTGAGCTATGATGGGGGGGCAAGCCCAGGCTGTCCCAAAAGCTCCACCACCACATAGAGAGCTACCTGTGGCAGTGCTATGTCCCTGCTGCCAAGGAGGATATTGCTGCTAGCATTAATGCCTTCTTTAGCATGTAAGAGGCCTCTGCGCACCCACCTGCGGGGATATGTGCTGCTCACTAAAGTTTTGAACTGTGTCCTGCCTCTCTGCATGCTATTGTGGGGACCTGAGGCTAGGGGAGTGTGAGCGGGCTGGGCAGGGAGCAAGGGCACGGGCTGGTGAAGGGCTGATGACTAGAAGAGTCCTCCCCCAATGCAGGACTTACCATGTGTCCAGGGCTGGCAAGGCTGGCAGCTTGGCATGGGGCTGTCCATCAGCAATGGTGTCCAGCTACAACCAGTATCCATGACCTGCGGTGTGAAGCAAGCCAGCATCTGGCCAGGCCCTCTAGCTCCTCTCCCCTTCCCCCCTGCCTCACAGCTGAAGGCCAGTGGTGGTGTGGCTGTCCACTCTTTTAGGTGGAGTGTGGGAGTGGGCTGAGGGTGAGGCAACCACTCCGAAGAGCTTCTCAAGCTGCCAGTGGATGCAGCAGCCAGGGAGGTGGGTGGGGCAGGGTGCTGAAAACCTGAGGTCCCCTCTTCAGGTGACACATCAGAGGCATCAGGGCAGCGTAAGGGTAATACTAATAGTAGACCACCCCTGCTAGGTCTCTGGGACCCCACACAGCTGTCCCTGCAATGCCAGCCCTGGAGGCTGCAAG